AACTATCTTGTTTAAAAGATGAAAAAAACAGGTTTAAAGAAATTTGAAACTATTATTAATTAGCTACTACAGGCCTTTCAGATTTAAAAAGATAGACAAGAATTAAAAGTTGTTTAAGCAGAAAATAAGTCAATTATAGCTTCTATAAAAAGTATAACATTATTCATTTTATCTGTACTATTAGAGGATGGTACATTGAAAGAAGATGAAGTGCAAGATGCTGTAAATTTAACAATGTTAGTTGGATAAGTTCGAATAACTAACAACAGTATTAAACTCATACAAATGCTATTCAGTATGCAATACATCTCCAATTGAATCAAACAATCTGTCTTTAGTTGTTCAAAAACAAACTTTAGAAGACAATATCAGAAAAAGTGTTTCAGTTTTGTATTCTTAGCTAAGGTTTTAAAATGTATGATCTACACATCACACAAGATGCCAAGAAATGGCAAGTAATTCTATTTTATCTTAAAATGTAATTTAGACCGCATTAAGTACATTAAACACCAGACTTCAAATAGAACTAGCCGGTAACAATAGTACCAATCAGCACAAATATTAAATGTATTTTAATATTTAAATTCATTTAAGTGCATGCACCAAGACATCCTTAATACCACAGATGGGTTTTGACTTGTAATAAAGTGTAATTATTTACTTACATTATAGCGTTTGCTAGCATTTCATTTCATTTCATGCTTGTTTTTTAAAACAACGTTTGCTTTTGGGCTTGAAAATTCAAAAATCCTGTTATATTTTTTATCATCTTTAGATTAATAAAACAAGTTAATAATTTCATTTGCTCGTTATAAATTTGGTGGACTAACAGTACTTTTTTTTTCAAAAGTTAATATAAATGATTTTACCTAGAAAGAATTTCAAAATTCAAATTAATATGCAGTAAGGTTTCATTACGTTGGAAAAATAACCTTTTACAATTCTAGCTTTTTTTTCACCTTACACCTTGTTTTATTAGTTTTTTCTGCTGCATTTAATTTTTTCTATTAGGTTTTTACTTTGATTTGAAAGCCTCATTAAGATTTTGTCACATTCATTTTTATACAGGGTGATGTGCTGTTTTGATAACCAAGAAGAACAAATTAAAGTTAAAGCAGGCAACATCTCAAGCATAGGAAGAGTGAAATTTAAAAAGCCCTTTGTTTTCAAGTTTTGTATGTCTAGTAAGTGACCGGAGCCACAGGGCTTGCCTAAAATTGAGACATTTTGCAAAACCAGCCGCAGCAACTTTATAAGATTTAGCAGTTGTTAATAGCTTTGGCTAGCAAAAAATTTATAAAACTAAATATATTATAAATTTATGCCTAAACTTACTATTTCTTAAATATTTTAAAATAGAGAATAATTTAGAATTCTAGGAAAGGTATAACTGAAGACTTAAAAAGTTGTAAGAAGGGTAAAAGTTATAATGTTTTTGTGGATGTTCAAGGAAAAAAATTGGATTAATAAATATTTTTATAGCATGAAGGAACAAATACAGCAAAAGAATTCAACTGGTTGAATAAAAAGCCTAGCAAAAATGAGTTTTGGTTTATCATTAGAGAGATGATAGCTTGTTTGAGCATTGACCATGATTGTATTTGTAATAAAAGATATGCAACCTTACAACAATGGAGAGTGGCTCAAGCTTGGAAGATAAAGCAGGCCTAGTTACATTTACAATGTACTTTTAAACTTTGTCTGAGAATAGGTGGGTAGTTATTACTCAATTAGGAATGCCGACAATATTGCAATATTTTTTCACTAAATAAATGAGTTTCGTTACCTAACAAAATTGTGGATTTTATGTCCTGAATTTAAATCCATAAGCCGCTGCAAGCCTTAGGCTGTTAGAGAAGAGAGATCAGATTTAAAATCGGCTGCTTGTTTTAAGTAATTAAAAAGTAAGGATTTTTGGTCAAGACAAGAGTATAAGGTTGAAGCAATAGATAATAGAGCCACTTTGCAATTCACAAAGATTATTATTATAGATAAGAAATTATACAGGAGCAAAGATAAAACCTTGTGGTACCCTTAAAGCTATTTAAAATAAAAAAGTGGGTAGTCCTTCAAGAATAGCATTACTACTTTAGTTAAAAAGAAACAACTTAATAACCTCAAAACCTTTACAGAATAAAACTAATGACAGAGAGAAGACTAATTGTTTAATAGTTGGAGAGGTTAAAGTGTCTAGACTTTTGAAAAATTGGAATCATTTATTTTGCAATTTTTAAAAGTTTAACAAAAATTGATGAAATCTCTGAACAACACTTTTTAACACTGTGATGAAAATCTAGTGTTTAATTGAGAATTAACTTTAGCATTGGAAGCCAGAGTGGTTTCCATGTTTAACAACCGGTTAATTTATTTAACTGTCTGGAAGAGTATGACCATTAAATTAAAGATTCAAATAGGAGTAAGATTTCTTTGCAAACAACTCTGCTTTCTAGAGAAAAGTATAAATTCTGAAGAGAAGTAAAAAGATCAAGGCCATGAATTATAGATTAAATGTTAGGATAACTTTAGTTAATGACACTGTTGAGGACTAACCAAAAGTCATTAGAACATAACAGCTTAAATAAGATACTAGATTTAGTAAACTGAGAATAACAGATCTTATCATCAGACAGGATATTTTTACATTAGCTTTTTTCAATAACAAAAGGTTTTTGCAAAAAAGATGAAAAAAATGATTAATGTTTATTAAATCAACTGCTCAAGATGGTAAGAAATGTGGAGTAAAATGAGGCTTGATTTAAAAATGAAAAGAAATAATAAAAGCTTCTAAACTTTAATTCAAAAATGAATAAAAGTTTCCAAGATGCACTTTATGCCAACTTATTATGGATATAAACATATATGTTTGCTATTTATTTAGATGCTTGCATACAATATCTTTTCATTGTTATATAAACTTGAGTATTTATATGGATTAGTTTTTGCCAAAAGAGAACATGATCAGCTGGATATGTGGTGTGAATCTAGCAAGACAAAAAAAGAAAGGCATAGTCTTAGACAGATTTGAAAAAACTTTTTATCAAACAATGCTTTTTAGAAAAGATTAATGTATCTTAGGTATTTGTATGTAGAGAGGAAGCAGCTTCAGTAGAAAATAGTAGTGTGAAACCTTGAAGAAAGTGCCTTACGTATTGGTGTTGTATGATTGAGCTTTAGTTAAGAAAAAAAAAATGCTCTAAATTTCTTAAAGAAACAGCATAAAAAAGAAAGGCTAAAACTTGATGATTATGATAAAAACTGATGATGTTGGTCATGATGAAAATGATGATCATAATAATAATGATGATTTTGATAATTATGTTGAATCATAATGATGTTTATGCATGCATTTATATACAAAATGTAACATGAATTTTAAATAAAGGAAATATACCTTGGGATGCATAAATGTTTATGTAACTTAGGTCACAATCCCTACTCCGGCTATGTTTTATCAAACTTGGCTCTAACCCCGGTCAAATAATAATTCCGGTTACTTACTTATGTATGTGACACTTGCGATTTGATAAAATTGTGCAAAAATGTACGAAGATCTGGACTGAACTTAAAATCAATATAAATATCATCCAGTAAATTTTCAACTTTTATGTCAAAAAAAAAAAAAAAAAATTTTGAAAACATTGTTCATATGATAGCCTCTTTGAAATTTTGTCAAATAATCACCATAATACATAAAGTATTGCCAAATAATCACAAATATCACCATCAGTATTAGATAAGGAAAAACTTTCCGTTTCAAACCCAATGATTTTTGTTCTCACATAATTGTCAGAATCTGATAAATTAAAAAGAAGATTACTTAATAGAATTTCGTCTTTGTAGAATAAAGGAATAACAACAATAAAAATTTTTTTTGGATTAACCGTAACAAGCAATAATGCTGTATAGTGTTTTAATACAACTTTATTAACTTAGCCGCAAAAATATGCACAAATTTGCAACTAAGAAATTTCTCAATTTCGGTTATTAAACTGTCATCTATGTCAACTTTTATTTTCATATCGAAAGCCAGATCAGCATGAAAAGTTTCACCTAGCCCTTCTTGCAGCTTATATAAAGCAGCTGTTCTAAACATTTTTTTAAACACGGTGATCTTAGATAATTCCTTTGCAAATTCAATCTTGTTGGATGTTAAAAATAATGGAAGATTGTGTTCACAAATAAATGTTTTTTAGATACTGGGCATCAAGCTTCTGCATTTGATGCCCAGTCTCTAAAATTTAAAATAGATTTAATGGTAGGCTTAACTCTATTTGTGCAAGTACTACCAACATGCCCCTTAACTAAAGTGCTGTATGGCAATATCCAAGTATTTGTTGTTTTTTTTAATTAGTAAAAAATGATGATGGTATACCTTCGTTTGACTAATTTGTTGGGCAGTTTTGGCGATGAATTTTAAACTATGAGTGGCTGAGTAACGATTTTTTACCTTCACTTCCACAATAATAGCCTTTACTACATACTCTATAGCATATAATTGTGATCAGTTACATATTTTAGAAATTTCAGATTCAAATTCCATTTTAACATTTTTTCTTCTTGATCGTAATTTTTCATAACAGAAAATTTCTAATACTTAAAAAGGTTGATTTGGATAAATTGAAAGATAATAATAATAAAATAATAAAGAATGCGAAAATTGATTTTCTGAAATGTTTTAGTTATAGAAAACGTATTTGTTTAAATTAATAGCAAAAAAATATGCAAAATTCACTTAAAACCGCTTAAAAAATTTCCTAAAATTTTAAGGAGTTTTAAGTAAATTTTAGGAATTCACAGAAAAAAAATGATATATGTAATACCGAATAGCATTGAATTTTATTAAATATAAAATAATACAATTTTAACTATGTTTACTCTATCTACAGAATATTAGGGTATTTCAGATAATTTATGTTTACTATTATTTACAGAATGTTAGGGTACTTTAGACAATTAAACGTTAACTTTATTATAAAATATTTACAAAGACATATACTTACATAAAATCCGAGCCCTGTCAATCCAGGTAATACTTTAGGAATGTTGTAAGAGTATACATTCTAAAAAGTAACTTTCAACTAAATTATTGTACTTTAAAGCAGTTAAAGAGACAACCTAGACAAAACTCATCTTGTGTTCAAATGCAAAAAACTGGATAAAAAATAAATTTAACTAAATTATTGTTACTAGCCTTGTATAATGCTTACAAAAAAAAAGTTGTTTTTGCTAAGGATGATCTCTTACATTAAAATTTAGATATTAGATTCTTTAAAAAACAAGTATTTTACAAACTTTGAGATTTATTTTTAAATGCAAGCAACTTATACAAGTTCTAGCGCTCCATCTATGCCTAATATTTGAAAAAATTTAATCCTAAGAATTATGGGGCCGATTCAGTCAAGAGACATCTCACTTTTGGATTTACTGTTTCAAAACTTTATCAAAATAAAAAATAAATAGTCTCACTTTTAAACTTATTAATTTTTTATGTTCCTATAAAAATTTAACAAAAATTTAAAAACATTTAAAATAACGGGTCAATATTCGCAATTGAGACTGCTAATTTATAAAACAAGTTTAGTTACTCTATGCTGTATTTTTTCAGTCACATTACAGTCTTGTTTAAAAAGCAAACTTAGGAAGTGGGCAAGAGAATTTTAAACAAAAAGATCTCAAAAGTTTGACAAGTTTTGAAGTCAAAACTTGTACACAATTACTTTATTTTACCCAGCATTTAACTCACTTTACTAATTGCCATAATTACTTGATTTTTCCATTTAAAGTTTGTAAAACTAACTTTAAGTTTTTGTTCAGACTCAGAATCATAAAACTGTGTATTATTAATCAAAACTAACTATTTCTTATTAGTGGAGCCATAATCTATCACAACAAGCTCAATTATGTTGAACCTCAGCAATCAGCTTTGAGTCAATTTATGTTTATTTATTCTGAGTTTACTATTGATAAAGATTTAGTATCATCAGTATATAACTTTTTTAACTTATCTGGCAAACTAATAATTTAGACAATAAAAACGAATGTTCAATAAATGATAGACAGCACTAAAGCCATTATTTTGATAAGAGACACCTTTAACTAACCTCTTTTTAATACTATCTTGCCTAATTCTGAGAAAAGATGCAATCCATTTCAGTATTAATCCATTAAAACCATAACTTTTCATTTTATTAACAATCTTTTATTAGAAATTGTTTTAAATACCATTATGAAAACCCAGTTGAAAAACATCAACTAGAGTATGTTTTTTATTGTTAAGTATTATAAAATCATTTTTTGCCATACATTTACTATCCATATTTTTTCTTTATGATTTTTGAGTTGATATTATGTTATTGAAATGTTTTTTTAAGGTTTCAATTTTGTTTAGAATATTACCTTTTATCTTGCATACTATTGTTTTGTAAATAGCAGCAACTGCTTTTTTTATCGTATTTTGAAAAAAAGAGTTATAATTGATTTAATTTGATTTGGGAGTTAACTTTATGTTAATGGTTCTCTGAAGATTAATTTTTACGACAGTGCGAACACCTTTTACATTATTCTTCAAAGCAAAATAAGAATTCTCTAACATAACAGCGGGAAGCTAATAATGTACAAAGGCTTTAAAATAATTATTTGAATAAATATATAAAATTGACCAAATAAGTTAGATTAAATATCTAAAAGTAACTAAACTATAAGTAATAATATAATATAATAACATAACAGAAAGCTGTAGTAGTTCAAAAAATACGAGTGAAATTAATAGTAAATAACTTCAATTTGAAAGCAGATACATTGGGTAGTTGTGCTAGGTAAATAAATTAAATTATAAATTAAAAATCATATAGCTCCTTATATTTATCAATTCAAGTTTTGAATAAGTTCAAGCTTTCACTTTTGATGATAAAATTTAGTGGTTTGTTCCACATTGTTAAGACTATTAATTAAGATTTGATGACGAGTATTGCATTTTTTAACATACTCTCTTCTGATATTAAAGTTTACTTGTGTTGGGCTAATACAAGACAAAGATATTCCAATCTAGTTATACAATATTTATTTTTTAAATAGTTTGTACATTTAAACTAAGTTGCTTTTTTTCCTAAGCCAAGTAATTTAATTCTTGCTTCATAACTTTGTTTTTAAAAGATTCTATTTTTGTTTTTAAAAGATTCTATTTTGCATTAAATGGGGCAGCGAAACAAGATTCATAACTTTGTTTTTAAAAGATTAAATCTGAAGTATCCATTTAGTAGCATAACCTGAAATTTTTAAATTGCAATAATATCACTTTTATGATACGAAGACCATGCTTGTATTGCAAATTCAAGACGGGTTTTTATAAATGTTACGTACAATTTAAGTATAATTGGTTTGATAAACTCAAAAATTTGCCCAGATACACTATATGAAGCAAGCTTATGGAGAGGACCAGCATGTAAAACTATTTCAAATGTTTTTGATATGTCAAAAACTATAGCCCTTGTTTCGCTGCCC